AGTCAGCATGTCCACAATTAAGCTATAAGACCAATTCGGACACAGGATCTGAGTGTACATCCAATTGCTCACAGTAAAAGGTAATTTTGTAAAGATATACTGTAGCTTCTCTCAGTATTGTATTGAGGTTCCAGGTTAAAAGTGATAGTAGGTGTGGTCTGTGATCAAAATGTAAAATATTGAACAAAATAGGTGAGATTGCAAAGGAAATTTGTAAATTCTGTATAAAATTGTATTTTTTTCTTTAATAAATATTTATTAATTTTCAACCAAATACAAATGAGTCATTTTCTCCAATTAAAAAGACATCAAAACAATATCATTCTACCACCATAATTATCTACCTAATAAAAACAATCTTTATTACCCCCCGCGTCCCATCCTCCCTCCCCCCCCCCCACTCTGCATTTTCCCTCTTCTACACTATATAAAACATTCAAAACATATCTGGAATCCATCTAAAGGGGTATTACATCTTCATATATTTCACCTTCTCTCTATGATCTTCCCATTTTTTCCATTTTTTATAATATAACTCCATCTTATCTATATGCATATAATAAAGTCTTTCCGTCCCACAAATCTGATTCACTCTTACCATCCAGTCCTCCTCTGTCGGTGCTTCCTTTTTTTTCCAAAACCTAGGTATCAAGCTCTTCGCTGCACTCAAAAAATGCCATATGCCCAAATCCTTATATAATTTCACTGGAAGCTCTGTGTTATGTAAAAGACATAGCTCTGGGTCTAATCTAATGTTAATTTCAGTGATCTTCTCTACTAAATGAATTATTTTCTGCCAAAATATTTTGTATTTTTGAATATTCCCACCATATAACGTGCCTATTTCTCCACAGCCCCTCCAACACATTGGTGAAATCTCCCCATTCATTTTGTGCTCCACTTTCGATGTAATGTGCCATCTTACCAAACACTTATGATTTAATTCCACGTCTCTCATTCTAATATTTTCGTGAATTAATCTATATATTTTACTCTGCATCTCCTCATCCATTTCCTTTCCCAAATCTCTTTCCCATTTCTCTATATATATTGGTTTTGTGCTCGTGTCTAACTCAGTGAAAATATTATATATTTTAGCGACTCCATGTTTCCTGTCACCCCGTGCTTCCAACAACCTTTCAAATGGGTTCCAATCCTTTCTTGTTCTCAAAGGCTTCAGGAGACTCCTGACAAAATGCTTCAATTGGTGATGTCGTATCTCATCCATTCTATTGAAAACTTCTTCTTTTTTCTTTACCAACTCATTATATGATCCCAATTCCTCCCCCACTATTATGTCTCTCAATTGCGCATCCTGCTTTATAATCCATTTCCCTGTGATGTCTTCTCTCCCCGGGGCAAAATATTCTGTATTCCTTAGTGACATTAACTGTGAATTAAAAACCCAACCCTTTTGTCTATGTAATATTTCCCATACTCTTAAAACGATTACAGTGTACAAACTTGTGTTAACATCTAATCCCCTATATTGTGCTGGCACCCATACAATCCTACTTAAATTTGTTCCACACAGTGGATTTTCGATTTTGACCCAACTTTTCCCTGGATTATGAGTCCAGTCAAAAATTCTCGCAATTATTACAGCTTTATAGTATCTCTTAAAATCTGGTAAACCTAAACCACCTCTCTCTTTATTTCTAGTCAGCATTTCATAACATATTTTAGGTTTTTTGTTCCTCCATATATACCTCGTCATAATTTTTTTAAGTTCTTTAAAATATGCCTCTGGAAGTTTGATTGGGATCATTTGAAATTTATATAAAACTTTAGGCACAATTACCATTTTTATCAGATTTATGCGACCTATCCAATACGGATTTCCACTTCCCAATCTCTTTAATTCTTCTTTAATCTCATTTAATAATGAAATATAATTAGATTTATACATGTTTTTAATTGAGGCGGACATTTTACCCCTAAATACTTTAATTCTTTTCCTCTCCAAACAAAGGGGAAATCCTCTTGTATTTTTTCTTTTTCACTGTTTTTTAGGTTTATATTTAAGACTTCATTTTTTGTCTGGTTAATTTTTAAATTTGATAATTCCCCATATTCCTTCAGTGTCCTCATTAGATTTGGAAGTGATATCCTAGGATTTCCAACATAGAACAACAAGTCATCTGCATAGGCCGCCACCTTTTATTCTCTATCTCCTACCTATATCCCTTTATATCTATGTTCTTCCTTATTGCAGATAATATTGGTTCCAACGCCAGGGATGCCTGTCTTGTTCCATTTGACATCTCAAATAGCTCCGATCTTCCTCCGTTAACCGTGATAGCTGCTGAAGGTCTCCTATATAACTTTCCAATCCACTTTCTCATTCTATCTCCCAACCCTAGCGCTTCCAAGGTGTCCATCATAAATCCCCAGTTTACTCTATCAAATGCTTTCTCGGCGTCAATTGACATTAACACCACCGGGGTTTTCACTTTCCTATCTTCCTAAATGAGCAACAGTGATCTCATCCCGTTGTCTCTACCCTCTCTCCCCGGGACAAAGCCCACCTGGTCCCCATGTATCCAGTCCGGCATCAAATCCTTCAGCCTATTTGCCAAAATCTTTGTGTACAGTTTAGTATCTACATTCAACAGTGCAATTGGTCTATAACTTGCACACTGAGAAGGATCCTTATCTTCCTTATGAATTAGTACTATATTAGCCTGTAAAGATTCTCCCCTCATTTCCAGCTCACCTCCCAGAGCATTCATGTATATCTTCAATTTGGGTATTAACAACTCTTTGTATTTTTTATATTATTTTACAGTATACCCATCTGGCCCCGGGCTTTTCCCCGTCGTCGTACTTTTTAATGCTGTTTTTATTTCCTCTAACGTAATTTCTGATTCTAGGGAGTTCAATTTTACTTCACTCAATTTTAATAGACCTGCATTTTTTTTTTAAGTATGTTCTTCTTTTTTCTCTATTTACTATTTCAACTTTATTTAAAGTATCCTGGGGTATGATATTATACAGCTTACTATAATATTCCTTGACTACTCTAGCATGTATAAAATTGTATTATATTGTTGCTTGTCTATTTATTGTACACTGCACTCATTGTGCACACAGCACTAATCATGTTTTAATTATGTTTGCAAGTCCTGATTAGAAATTAGCCTGTCTATGTGACGCCCCTTGTTACCATAAAAATAAAATAATAATAAAATAAAAATATCCCTCCCTCCTAGATTGTAAGCTCGAAAGAGCAGGGCCCTCGAACCCCTCGTGTATTGTATTGTTACTGTATTGTCTCATGTTCTGTCCCCCACTATAATTTACAGCGCTGAGCAAACCTTTTAGCGCTATATAAATACTGTATAATAATAATAATATGATTGTAATAGTAATGTGATACCTATGTAATCATGTGTATAAAAAACTTCAAATGCACCGAATAAGCAGAACAGTTATTTTGAAAGATCCTGAGTGTATCTTTTTGTGTCTGTTCCCCACTGCAGTAGTTATTATTAATTTGGAACCACTAATCAATATGAGGATAAGAGTTGCCTATCGATAACATTTCCAGAACACTGGCTTTTCCCTTCACATAGCCCTTCTAGAGCATAGGAACATCAATGTCATTGCATTCTGGACACATCCCGTATGTAAAACAACTCTTATGTATGATTTTAAACAGTGTATTTAGCTGATTTTGCCCCTCCATAGTGTTGATTTATTATATATTACCTCTATATGCATAATGATGCTGAAAACACATTTAGCTAAAAAGTGTCAATGCTGTACCAGTCTTATGTAATTAACCAGCAGATTGACCTTGCTTATGCTCATAAAAGAAAGCATTGTAAACCTATTCCAAGAACATGCCATCTGACAGTTGTCCAGCTCTTACTGTTCTAAGTATCACTACTATAGCTGCTTATTATTTGAGCCTGGAAAAGATCCACTAGGATTTTGTTTTATGAGTTTTAATGAAAAGGTGTTGTATTTCATGGGATGAAATCATAACACAGCGGGTTTGGAAGAATTTGGAAGATTATTTTTTTAAAGTGTTGGCACATGGCACACCCCAGGGATTTATATGAGTATTAAAGAAATATATAGATCTTCTTTCATTGGATTGAAATAAGAAGTAAGGCATAATCCTTTCTTGATGGTCTGGACTGCAATATGGTTGTAGTCATTTATAAAGTATGCGCCACTCAGGTAATTGTTATGGCCTCATTATCCTGTTCTCTGTGGAAGTACTTTTATCTTGTGCAATGATATGTTGCATTAATAAACACAACAGCATAGGAGCAAAGGTCCATTAATTCTACACACGTTGTCATGTATACCAGCTATGCAAATAATTACAACTGGATTTTTTTGTTATTTGTATGTTCTGCATGTGTTTTGATATATTCATTCAAGGGTTAGATTTCAGAAAATGTTAATTAACCACTTGCCTACTGGGCACTTATAACCCCTTCCTCCCCAGGCCAATTTTCATCTTTCAGTGCTGTCACACTTTGAATGACAATTGCGCGGCCATCCAACACTGTACCCATATGAAATTTTTATAATTCTTTTGAGACAGATAGAGCTTTCTTTTGGTGGTATTAATTCACCTCTGGGTTTTTTATTTTTTGCTAAACAAACCAAAAACAACTGAAAATTTTGAAAAAAAAATGTTTTTCTTATTTTCTGTTATAAAATTCTGTAAATAAGTGATTTTTCTCCTTCACTGATGTGCGCTAATGAGGCTGCAGTGATAGGCACTGATAGACGGCACTGATGGGCACTGATAGGCAGCACTGATGGGCACTGATGAGGAGGCACTGATGGGCATTGACAGGCATCACTGATAGGCACTGAAAGTCAGCACTCATATATGGCATTGATAGGTGGCACTGACTGACACTGATAGGCGGCACTGATTGGCACTGTTAGGTGACACTGATTGGCACTGTTAGGTGGCACGGATAGGCAGCACTGACAGGCACTGATAGGCGGCACTGACGGGCACTGATAGGCAGCATTGATGTGCACTGATAGGTGGCATTGATTGGCAGCACTGATAGGTGGCACTGAATGGCAGTGATAGGTGGCACTGACTGGCACTGATAGGTGGCACTGAAAGGCAGCTCAGATGGGCACTGATATGTGGCATTGATGTGCACTGGTAGGCACTGATATATGGCATTGATGGGGCACTGATGGGCACTGGCAGGTGACATTGATGAGCACTGACAACTGGCATTGATAGACATGTGGCACTGATAGGGCTACACTGATCATCAGTGCACTGATCATCAGTTCCCTGATGATCAATGTAGATGTCCCCTCTGAGGAATGCCGATTACCGGCTCTCCTTTCCTCACGAGCTGTCAGCATGACAGCTCGTGAGGAGAGAAATGTCGATAACCGGCATTTCCTTATTTACATGTGATCAGCTGTGATTGGACACAGCTGATCACTTGACAGAGCCAATGTCTTTGGCTCTTTCCGTTGATCGGTGATCGCCGCACTGCGCGCCCCCATATGATATCCTCCCAGAACGAGAGAACCGCCTTGCGCCCATCATTTCCTTATATGGTGGGCGGGAAGCGGTTAAAGTCTTTCTAAAGACAAAACATTTTTTTCATTTTATATAGAATAAGGAATGGTTGCAATCTCTGTTTTATTTGCCATCTTTGGGAAGATTTCCCTTCACTTCCTGTCCTGTAGACACAACAAAAAATTTCTTAAAGTGAGGGAAAATTCTCCAAATAGTTGTTTTATTCTATTCCTGTTCTGGTCATAACCCAAAATTTTGATTCACCTTCACCTTCAGTCCTGGTCACAGTGGTCACAGAGGGTGAATCTCCTAAGTGGAAAATAGATAACAAAAAAGGTTTCTGATCAGAAGATTTATTGCAATAGTAATGCAAATACATTCACTGCACTTACATGGAGTCCTGAGCACACAGCTTTACATACAGCATATATTGAAAGAAATTCCTCTCTGGATCACCAGGGAGCATCCAAATTAAATAGCCTGAGAGAGGCTTCATCTTAGATCTCAGACTGGGCAGTAATGGTAGCCAGTATGGGGCAAATGCAACTCAGTAACTTCCTGATCCCCCTTGTGCAAACACATTATGCATTTCAGGGCCAGGCTCCTTCTTCCTCATAAAGAGGCGTGCCTCTGAGTCATGACATAAAAGAATAAAAACTAGACTCGGTGGATCAAGTGAGGACTTGGGTAAGTATTTAGGGGGACAGGGGTGATACTGCCACTGGGACAGTGTTTACCTTATGCAAGGAATGCATTAAGGTAGATAATGTCTATCCTTTACAACCACTGTAATGAAGCTGTCTACATATGGTGACTATCAAATTTTGTATTTCACAGGGAACAGCTGAGTAAAGTCTGAAAATAGGTAATTATTGCATGCTAACACTTTAAATGACCTTGTCTTGACAGAGACTACTGGCTCCTTAAATCAGTATTTAGCAGTCAATGTGTACAAATTTTTATTGCTGATATTTAATCTTTATAATCCTCTATCCATACATTGGAAAAAATAGGTAATAGCAAAAAACTATAATAAATATATATATTATTTTCACATTTAGACCACACACAATTTTATCTGGTTCTATAGTTACCAAGTATATTTTTTCAATATGTGAGTTAAAACATAACAATATGTTTGTATAATAAATTCGCTTACCGATCTCTTCCCCAGCACCCACCCAGCATCTTATACTCACTTGTCCAGACTACTTTGTGATCTACACTGTGTGACCCACAGGAAGTTGAACAGCTGTGTTGCGAAGTATCTGGCTTGTCCCACACTTGTTCTGGACAGCACAGAAAAATTAAATTCATTCTTATGGATAGGAAGCCTATTGATGGGATGCATTATAGACATCCTCTCCACAATAAAGAATGGGATTTCCCTTCACATATGCAGAAAAAGCAATGACAGCTGGACAGATTGTAGAGGTAGCCAAGTGGCTGTTTGTGGGCTACACAGCGTGGATCTTGCAGGAGTGGGGGTGCGTAAAGCTTTGGGGAGGTGGGACTAGTGTACAAAATTATGGTTATAATTTAAAGTATAACTAAAGGCAAAACTTGTTTTTTGGGTTGGATGAAGTGCAGAGGGATTAGAACTCTTTTCCTGTTTCTACTGCTGTCTGTGCCCCCTTAAGGCGATTCACCCTCTCTGTTTGTCCTGTATACTATTATCATTGAAAGTGAAAGTAAAATAAAATTCCACATTTTGGGTTGCCCCTGAAAAAGTAAATTAAAGAAAATATTCCAAGATGGCCACTAGTTCTGGTGACTGGGGGGTCCCCAAGGAATTCCTTTTCAACTGCCTGTTTGGCTATGGGACAGGAAGTGAAGGGAAATCTCCGTAATGGGACACAGATGGAGCAAAAAAATCTGACAGGGGATATAACCCTCCCTTGTGCTATCCAAAATGCAAAACAAGTTTTGCCTATAGTTCTACTTTAAGCTGTGCACTAATGTTCTGCTTTAACCTCTTGACGACCACCCGCCCGCAATGTGCTGAAGACAGGTGGCCTACTTCTGGGTTTTGGCGCGTGTGCGTGCCCCCACTTATCACCCACTGTGATTGTACACAGTGGGTGTCTGTCTGCAAGTCTCAGCCAATGATTCATGGCCAGGACCTGCTGATCGGCTGTGTACGATCACAGCCCAGAGCTCTGTGTTGGCATTCAACACAAAGTTCTGTACACAGAGAGTGATCTGTCAGCCTATCATCCCCGAAAAGCAGGGTTCAGAAACTGGTAGATCATTTAGTAAAAGCAGCACATTGTACAGACATTACACATAACTAGGCACACATTTAAACCCTTGATCTCCCTAGATTTTAACCCCTTCCCAGCCAGTCTCATTAGTACAGTGACAGTGTATAGCATTACCACTGATCACTGTATTAATGTGACAGGTGATGTCATTGGCAGTTAGTGTCAGGTAGTCTCAGATTGCCTTTCACACAGCCCCATTATAAATCACTGTAAGGGATTTCCGGTGAGACGAATAATTGTGAATAGAAATGCGCATAGAAATGTCCGGAGAAGAGTGACCAGTTGTGCGCATGCACGTGGAAATGCGTGATCACGCACATGCACACACACGCTGACTGGTCTTCAGCTCCCCCATGTCCTTCTTGTTCCTGTGTGATTCCCCTTGTTGCTGATCCAGCTTGTTCCTGACCTGACTCTGATTACTCTCCTGATTGATACTGGTTCCTGACTTCGGCTCTGCTCCTGACTTCGGCTTTGCTTCTGATTCTGTACCTATCTGTCCGCCTGTTAATGACCCTGGCTATTCCATGACACTGCTCCTGTCTCTCACCCTCGCTTCCTGCCTTGCTCTGGTGCACACCTGGCGATCTACAAAATCAGCTCTGTATATTACCACCGTGCCTGAATCAGAGGATCATCAGTCTTCCAAGGTCATCATCTGCAAGAGCTGCAAACAACATCTACTGGCGCTCTTGTCCCCCTGGTCCCTAGACACCCTCTGTTCCAACTGCAGTGGGGTCAGGGCTAGTGACACAAGTGAGCCCGACCTCGTCATTTCAGTCTCCCATCAGGTACGTGACAATCACCGATTGCCACCATTAGTAGTATAAAAAAATAAATTCCAGTACTTATCCCAAAAATTGTAGGCTCTATAACTTTCATGCAAACCAATATACACTTATTGGGATTTTTTTTTAATCAAACACATGTAGCAGAATACATTTTGGCCAAACTTTATGAAGAAATTAGATTTTTAATTTTATTTTAATTGAATATGTTTTATAGCAGAAAGTAAAAAAATGGTGTGTTTTTTTCCAACATTGTTGGTCTTTTTTAATTTATATTGCAATAAATAAGAAGTGGTTGAAGTGTATTTAAGCTCAAGAATCAAAATTCTATATTCAGCAGCTTACCAGTCTCCAGACTTGGTGTTTGCATTAGCGCTCTTTTGCAGGCTTTTTTCTTTTCATTTTACCTGGTTATGCTGCCAGTAACACACTTCTAGTCCTAGGATCACAGCTCTCACTCACTGTGCTGTAGCTATAGAAGAGTAGAGTTATCACCGCAACATAGGTCTATAGAACATGTCCCGCGGTCCACTTGTGCATAGCATAGAGGGGATGGGTTCTGTTATAAACAGAATGATAACAATCAATGGAGAGCAAGGGAAGTTATTAGCTCACGAGATTTCTGACATCATCAACAGGTATTTTTTGCACTTATCATGCATTTATAATAAATTCCTTCTATTGTATTTTTAAAGTATACAGGAACTCTTACCTTGGAAAACAACCCATTCAATTTTTAATAGAAAATAGGCAAAATAATTGTGTAAATATATATAAAAATTATAAGCATCTTTTTTTTATAAGTGATCACATAACCTTTGTTCTCAGCTGCATAAGAAGCTTAGAGAGCGGGGGGTGGGAGAAGCAGCAGCACACTGACCTCCCCAGTGAATGTCTGTGCAGGGGAGGGCATGTCAGCAAAAGTCTGATCATTGGAGGACAGGCAGGCTGCTATCCCAGCACAGCCAGAAAACTGACCATGCTGGGAAGGATGTGCTCTCATGCCTAGCGTGGCCAGCTTGAATTAGGAGAGCGTGGGAACTGGCAGGATCACCAGGTATTTCACACAAAGGAAGAAGTACAAAGAGAACAGGATACTTTTTAACACAAGTATGTGGTACAAAAGACACATATCAGCAATATTAAATTTGGGGGGGTAACATATTCTTTACCAGACATAAAGAAAGCAAATTGAAAAATGTTATTGTTAGGGCTTACATATATTTTAAGTTAGTATCAGGGTATCCAGGATAAATACCTTTTTTAATATTCTGTTTTCACTCTGATAGTATTGTACATTTAGATTTTGATGAAACAACCAACATATAATAATTACTTGATGTCTTGTTCTTTTGTTAAAAGTAATTGGCCATTGAGAATTAGCCATTCTGAATATAAACATCAATACCAGGATTTATGGAGTGCTGTATTCTATTCTCTAATAAATAACAGACGCCAGATTAATACATTTATGTAAATCTTCCCTTTAGAATATGGTATGTGAAAAATACCCCAAAAAAGCATTAATATAATAATTTGGACTCTGAATTGCACACCTTTTCTTGGCCATTGTTGCAGCTTTATAGAAAGCCATTCAGTTATATCAAATACAGAACAACAGATATGGTGCTTGCAAAGATTATCCTAACTTTTTAAATTGTTTTAGGAATGCTAGATAAAGTACATATTCTATATACTACGAAGTATTTTTACAAGGAACTATACTGTTGGAAGGCAGCCAAATGCTCTAAACAAGTAAATGTTTAAACATGGGTATGTTGTATGGGTTTGAGCTCCAAAGAGGGGCTGTCTTGAAAGAGAGTTGTGATGACTGCCTGGTGTGAAAAAGCTTTGTTTTATCACTGGGAAATATGATGTGCAGTAATGGAATT